ATCAAATACTTCACATCTGTGTAGCAACAAGAATGAACAAAATTCATTGAAAACTCTGGAACAACACAGGATGGGGGAAAGGGTGAGGAAGTGCAGTGGAGGGGTTTAGATTGACTTATGCACAATACATTTACAGGTATAATATCAAGGCAAAAATCACACTGAACAATGAACAGACACCTAAACATTGGACAAGAACGTAAAATAGGTCACACTAGGGGGAGGACACTAATGGGAGGGAGAGGGTAAATGAAGGAAGTAAAGAAGGTGAATATGGTTGATATACTTTCTATACAAGTAGGAATATGGAATATTCAACCTGTTGAAATTACTGTAAGAAGGGGTGTAAGGTAGAAAGGAGAATAATGGGGGGGATGAACCAATTAGGATTATAATACATATATATAGGGAAATGTCACAATGAAACTCCCTGTATAACCATCATAAACAAATAAAAATGACTTTTTTCTTTTTAAAAATGTCTTTTTTTTAGAAAAAAAAGAAAGACAGGAAGGTAAAACAAGTCCTGCCCAGAGGTTCGCACAAGTATGAGGGAGGAGGCAATAAGGAATGGGTGAAGGAGGGTAAATATACTCATGTGTGAAAATGGAACAATGAGACCTGTTGAAACTACTTAATAAAGGGGGTGAAGGAAGATTAAGGAGAATGAAAGAGGAGGAGAATCAAACAAAGATATATTGTAAGCATTTCTGCAAATGTCACAATGTATCCTTACTGCAACTATAATATTCTAATAAATAAAATAAAATAAAAAGAACAAGAGCTCAAACAAGTGTTGGTAATGATGTGGAGAGACCTTTCTAACACTGTTCTTGGAATGCAAAATGGTACAACCACTATAAAACAAAACAGTATGACATTTCCTTGAAAAATTAGTGAAATACAATATGACCCAGAAATCCCACTTCTGGGTATGCCGAAAGAATTGAAATTAGGATCTCACAGAGATATTTCCACTTGTATGTTCATTGAGGTACTAGTCAAATAGCCTAGATGTAGAAACAGTCTAATGTCCACCAATGGATGAAGAAAATGTGGTGTGTGTGTACAATGGAGTGTTATTCAGTCCTTAAAAATGTGGTGTGTGTGTACAATGGAGTGTTATTCAGTCCTTAAAAACATATGTAGCGTACATGGACTTGGAGGCCATGATGCTAAGTGAAATAAACCAGTCAGAGAAGGCTTAATACTTGATTATTACAATTATATGAGATATTTAAAACAGCAAAATTCATAGAAGCAAAGAAAAGAATTGCAGTTGCTAGGAGTGTGGGGAGGGAATGTAGGGAGGTTTTAGTCAATGAGTATGAAGTTTCAATTAGGCAGAAAAGAAACCTCTGGTGACTTGGTGTACAACATTGTAACTGACGTCAACAGCATTGTACTGCCCTCTTAAAAATCTGTTAAAAAGGCAGAACTCATGTTAAGCGTTCTTACCACAATAAAATAAAAATAATAAATAGTAAAAACTGTATCTGCATGCACACACATCACAGAAATCTGCATCACAATTTAATGGTGCTATTATTCTTTCATGTATAAATATGTCATTAATATGAGAAAATAGTTTGACTTGATTTCAAACCATTTGGAAATAAATTATTTTCAAGTATGCACCTATCTGAGTTTACAATTGATTTACATGACCATATGGCTTTGCAATTAATCACTCAGACAGACTTAAGGAAATGATTGGTTAGATTACTGACATTATCTACATGCTAACTATTCTTATTCAACATCTTATTAGAATTGTCGTTTGGTGATATTTTTCCTATTCTTTCACTGGCCTACATAGAAGAACACTAGGTCATAATCTAGCTAGACATGGCCCACCAAAGTGTTTTCCTTGCTTCACATACCACCTTAAAGTTTGGAAAATTCTACATAGTTTTGAGAATTTCTCAAAAACAATCCAAAGATCTTATCAATGCTGAGGTCAAATTTCTGCATAAAATAATAGGCCAAGTCTGAGTGGCATGTGTGTCTTTAAAGAAGGTCACTTACCACCTCCAATTCTTTCCAGTTTATGCACCATACCTTAACTTTCTATAGCTGAGCCTCTTTACTCATTTATTTTATCTCTTCATCTCCTTTAGGTGGTACTTTATAATAAGTTCACTTAATACACATTGCCAAATAAGTGAAGATATAGCAAGGTCTGAACATTCAGATGTAAAACAAATGATTTACTGTGAATTCTAAATCACTGTGAATAATTATCTCTAAATATAATAGGAACTTTTCAAAACTATTATTCCAAAAACCTTTACTACCTTTGTGTTTACAATGATGGTCCAGGAAGTGAATGGAAAGAAAATATACGCTCAGTACATGTCTAAAACAGAAGATAGAAAACATTTCATTGGTTACTTGCTTTAGTTCTGAATTTGCAAACACTTTCAAGCTTGTGCTTTCCCTTGCCCTACTGTGATATCTACTTCATTTTGGAAATAAATCCTTTGATATCATTAGAGTGATCTGTTAAAGTCCTGATGAGACAGAAAATCAGATTTGTTTATTCACCAACACTAACCATATCTCAGAACATAGGAGTCTGTCATGTTCAAATAAGTACACAAACATTTATGACTTCTTGTTATAAAGGCTACAGTAATGGCACACTCATGGTAATTGATAGGAACACTTAACTTTGAGCCAATGGAAGGTGAAGTAAGTCTTTTATTAAAAGATGCCACACTTTGGATGAGACTTTAATAACTATGGAAAAGAAAAAGGAAGAGAATCTTTTCCAAGTGTAAAGCAGGGAATTGTGAGATTATAGGGCACATCAAGATTCCCCTAATTTGTTTAGTACACCTGGTACAAACTGTGGTCTATACTACAGAAGAGTGAGAGAAAAGAAATAGACAGATAAAAAGTACAAAAAAAAAAAGGTTAAAAAAAAGTTTACAATGAGCCATGCATCTTATTCTAAGGAGTTTGGCTCTTACCCTAAAGTCCACTTCCCTGAAGTCACTGAAGAATCTTAAACAGGAAATGACATGAACCAGTTTCATTTAGAAAGGTTTTCCTGGAAGCATTGTGGATGAGACTGGAGGCACAGAGTTCAGGTGACAGGTTATAAAATGATTCAGTCAACAATTGAATTAAGGTAAAGATAGCCATGAATATATGGAATATATGGAACACGATGGATTGGGGGTAAGATGAGCCCAGATTTGACACACTGAGTTTGTTATTTATAAAACACCTAAGAAGGAAACTAAATGAGCAAGTACTAAAACAAATCAATTAAAACTTTATAGAAAAATTTCCTTTAGAAAAAAATTAGGTAGCAATCGTGTTTCATGAATGATCGAAGCCAGATTACCATTGAGAAGTGGATGGGACGTGAGAAGTGACACATGTAATTTACTTTTCAAAGTGCTTGGATGTGAAGAGAAATAAAAAAGCAGAAAACCAGCTACAAAGTTGTTTAGTGATATAAAAACTATACATATAAAAATATGGGAGAGACTAGATGTGATTGTTGAGGACAAAAAAGAGGTTGGAATGGAGGAGTTGAGATGCAAGATGGACCAGGCAAAGGGCTGATGGAACTCCATCTTGGAAGAGGCAGGAAAAAGGAATCTCAGCCTTAGGTCGATCTGTTAACATCTGCTAAAGATGGATTGCTTTTTAGCTGAGGTCGGGAAAATGAGGAAGGTAGACATAATACAGATGTACTTGATGGAAGGAGGACTTGAAGTAGAGGAAGTTTCCACACTATGGCCTCTACTTCTCTGAATTAGGAAGGAAGTCTGCTCCCAGAGGAAAGAGGAAGGTCACAGATGTCATTTATGTGTGCATTCTTCTATTCACTTTTTCTGCAAGCACTCACTGAATGGTGCTATATGCCATACCCTCTGCTGAGACCAGGAAAAGTGACCAGAACCATAGGACTTAGTGTAAATCCTTCAAACCCTTCATCCACGGTTAACCCATCCACCTAAGGGCAGCTTTAGCAAAGCAGACTATAAACTCTGCACTAAAGGCACCTGCACACCCATGTTTATTGCAGCACTTTTCACAATAGCCAAGCTATGGAAACAGCCAAGATGCCCCAGCACTGACGAATGGATCAAGAAAATGTGGTGTTTATAGACAGTGGAATTTTACTCAGCCACAAAGAAGAATGAAATTTTGTCATCCGCAACTAAATGGATGGAACTGGAGAACATCATCTTAAGTGAAGTTAGCCAGGCTCAAAAGGCAAAAATCACATGTTCTCCCTCATATGTGGATTATAGACCCAAAACAAATGCAGTAATATTATTAGACATGGGTCACACTCTAAGGGGAGAATGTGCATGGGAGGGAAAGGGAAGAAAACTTAAAACTTGAAAGTGTTTGATGTGCTCACTGTAGTGGAATAAATATAGTAACCTTAAACTGGCAGAGGTCACTATGGGAAGGGGACCAGGAAGTAGTGAAGAAGTCTGGTAGAGATGAACCAATGTGGGTTGTAATATATACATGCATGGAAACAACACAAAGAATCTCCCTGTATAGCCATCTTTACCTCAACCTAGCAAAAACACCATGTTTTTCCTTCAAGAAAATCGATGAACAAGAGGGCCGAACAGGTTCTGCCCAGAGGTGGCAGGGGGGTGGCTCACATAATGTATACACATGTAAGTACATGTAAAAATGATAAAATAAATTTTAAAAAATGTCCAAGGTGAAAAATGCAATTGACTTGCCTGGCCCAATTCATCTTCTAGAAGAACATTTTGTTTTAGATTGAGTAATCTAAACTAAGATTGTTAAAATTTTCTCATTTTATACTCAGTTATAAAAGTATGGTGTAGATAAAAGCTGGGTTTTATATTGTGATTACTTATGCATTTCCCTACTTTTAACTTTTGAAAAACAGTAAGCAAAGAACTACTGAAATAGTGAATTCAATTATTTGGAAGAATAGTATCAGGTACTTGAAAGACACTGTCATGTTACCTTGTTCTGATTGTACTTACTCAAGTCTACAAATCCAATGTCCACATACATTTTAGCAAACACAGACACCAATAAGAAGCCAATGATTGGACCAATCATTGCTATTGCATGCAAAGTACCTGGAAATAATACAAAACCATGTTATCAGATTCCAAACGCACATGTTTCTTTTTTTTTATTGTTTTATTATTCATATGTGCATACAAGGCTTGGGTCATTTCTCCCCCCTGCCCCCACCCCCTCCCTTACCATCCACTCTGCCCCCTCCCTCTCCCCCTCACCCCCTTAATACCCAGCAGAAACTATTTTGCCCTTATCTCTAATTTTGTTGTAGAGAGAGTATAAACAATAATAGGAAGGAACAAGGGTTTTTGCTGGTTGAGATAAGGATAGCTATACAGGGAGTTGACTCACATTAATTTCCTGTGCATGTGTGTTACTTTCTAGGTTAATTCTTCTTGGTCTAACCTTTTCTCTAGTTCCTGGTCCCCTTTTCCTATTGGCCTCAGTTGCTTTTAAGGTATCTGCTTTAGTTTCTCTGTGTTAAGGGCAACAAATGCTAGCTAATTTTTTAGGTGTCTTACCTATCCTCAGCCCTCCCTTGTGTGCTCTCGCTTTTATCATGTGCTCAAAGTCCAATCCCCTTGTTGTGTTTGTCCTTGATCTAATGTCCACATATGAGGGAGAACATACGATTTTTGGTCTTTTGGGCCAGGCTAACCTCACTCAGAATGATGTTCTCCAATTCCATCCATGCACATGGTTCTTATCTAACATTGCTATTTTTTGCAGTATTGGGATTGAACTCAGGGCCTGGAGCTCAGGATATTATTTTTAAAAATAACATTACACAATACATTTTTCCAAATAATATTTTGAGGTAAAAGAATTAATTTAGTAATACTACTATTTCCAGCATAGAAATAATCCAGGGAAAGTGTTCTCTCAACTTAATATTTTCTGTACATTACCTATGTAAACAGAAGAATTTCCCTCTTTAGCAAAGTCATCAATGTAGGACATCCCTAATGGCACTATGGGTGTTTCCCCTATTCCACGAAGCATATTACCCATTAGGACATATATCCAGTAATACGACTCAGATGCCCTTTCACAACCTGTATAGAACGAGAGAGGGTTTGATTTAAATGTTAATTCTGGAATTCCCTCTTTAGACCATTAGTTTTTCCTGGGTTTTTTTTGCTTTTTCTCTAATTTTAAGTGATTTGTATACACTTTACCAAATTTGAAAATACAGAAACACACAGAGAACATGAACAAAGAATTACTTGAAATCCTGCTGTATAGACACATTCTGATGCTTTTATATATTGTCCATGTTTACTGCACATAAAATATGCATAATAATTATTATACATAATTATAGATATAAATATACAGTTCATATTACAATCAGCCTTTCCAGTTAATACTGTATTATGATAATTTCACCCTTTCTTTTCTTCCTTCCTTCCTTCTGTCCTTCCATCCTTCCTACCATCTCAGAGTTTTACATTTGCTAGGCAGGTGCTCTGCCAGTTGAACCACACCCATGGCCTTTTTGCTTCAGTTATTTTTCAAATAGGGTCTTGCAGTTATGCCCAGGCTGACCTGGACATGATCCTATTTTTGTCTGCTGTGTAGCTGGGATAACAGGTAGCAACCACCATACGAAGTTTATTATTGGTTGAAATGAGGTCTTGTGAATTTTTTGCCCTGTGATGGCCTCAAACTACAATCCTCCCCGTGTACACCTCTTTCTGGGATTACAGGTGTGAGCCACTGTGCCTGGCCTCCACATGTTGTTTTCTCTTATGTTAGGATTTTAACAACTGCACAGTGCTGTGCTGAATAACAATTTCACAATCTATTGTCAATTATATATTTTTAAATTGCAAAATAGTTCTAATTTTTTTCTGTTAAACAGGAATTCCTTGGGTAAAATTATAAACAAGTCCTTTTTCACATTACTGATTATTTCCTTAAGATTAATTAATAACAGTAGAACAACTGAGTTAACTAGGTAATTATATGCTGTCCTTTAATATATATTGAAAATTAATACCCAGAATTATAAATTTTTGCACTCCTATCAATATTTTCCTTCCTTTTCATTTCATTTTATCTTTTCCTATCTAATAGGTGGGAAACTCTTCAGTGTGTAATTTGTAGCTATAATTTATAATTTATGTTGTAATAGGTAGGAAAATCTGTAACTGGCATAATTTTACATTTTTTATAAAGAGCAAAGTTCCATTTTCACATACTTAAACCAGTTTCTGCTGCTTTATTTACTTACTTTTAGTTTTTTCAAAATGGGGTCTTATTATGTGCTCTAGGCTGGCTCCAAACACATGACCTTCCTGCCTCACCCTCTCAAGAACTGGGATTACAGGTGTGTGCCACCAAACCAGCTCTTGCTGCTTTGCTTTAAGTGCACATGTCATTTGTCAACACCCTATTGAAACCACCCTGGTATCCACTGCTCTCCTTCTGAAATTTCTTAGTATATACCACAGATCAATACAATTATTTTGCCTGATGTAAATAGGTCATGTGTCCTATTTGTTTTTCAATCAATTTTTGCTAGTGAATTTTATAATGGTTCATATACATGCTGTTAAATTGACAAGTTTTAGAATATTCTTTACTGTGACTATTCTTACCTTTTTCCACTATCTCAGGTGGGGTTCTAGTGAATGATAAAGTTTGATTAACTGAACAGGTTGCTATTGAATCTTCTTCTGCATCATTATTAGTTTCTGTAGAATACCTGTAACTGTAAGAACATTAATAGGCTTAAAATCTTGCTGATGTATTGAATATTTTCATTTTCCCCAGAAATGCAGAAGAATTTCTCCCTTTATACTTCATTTTTTTCCAAAGTACAGAATCTTCTGTGTGTTTTCCAGACTGTGTTTTAGAAGAGATGAGGGTAACAGTGAAAGGTGAGTGTCCATTAGACAGGTCATTGGGTCCTGCCAGGCGAGGGCATTAACACCTTCCTGTCTTGCCAGAGCTGATAATGTCCTGGTCAAGATATGAAATAGCTGGTGTCACTGCTCTGGTATGTAAGCTGCTAATTATTTCTGTTCATCACTTTGAATTATTTAAACATTCTGATATTTCATGACACACAACAAACCTTGAAACAGTGCTTTCCCAATTAATCTATAATAAATGTCAATTTACCTACATATTCTATCTAATGACCTCATTTTCTTTCATGGGCCCACACTCACATATACACTCACACACATGCACACACTGATATCTGTTTAAAATTTAAAGAAATTTTAATCCACTTCAACTTAATAGCAACACCAGAGATAGAGTTAGAATAAGGATAAATGCTGACATCTAAAGCTACAAGGGGCAACCTAGTATATGTGAGTGACTGCTGCAATTCAAAAAACCAAAAGTAAAACACACTGGTGTGTATGGGGTGTGTGTGTGTGTGTGTGTATTTTACTAGGAAATGAACTTGGGGACTTGTGCTTTCCAGGCAAGTGATCTAACTTAAGCCACATCCAGCCCTCTTTGCTTTAGTTATTTTTCAGATAGAGTCTCATATTTTTGCCCTGGCCAGTCTCAGACCTTGATCCTCCTACTTTCGTGTCCTGCACTGGAATTACTGCATTGGAATTACAAACCCTTTGACATAGGCTCTCGTTAACAATTTTGCCCAGGCTGGCCTTGAACTGTAGCCTTTTACCTGCACCTCCCAAGTAGCTGAGATTACAGGTGTGAGCCCTCTTTATGAGAAACAAACATTATAAATATGTAAGTTTTATGCACAAGATCATAAGTTGTCATAAAGGAAAAGGGGATGAGCAGCTTTGCTTAAAGGTAGGGAATGGAGTGAATTTGAGAATATTTTACCATGTAGATGACATGTGAGATGAATCTTGGTTTAATAGGTAGAAAAAGGAGGAAAAGTATTTAAGGATATAGAAGGAGTACATGCAAAAGTCTGACAAGTGGCACATTTGAAGAGCTGCAGCCTTAGAATGTCGTCTTCAATTGTGGGGAGCAGCGAAGGAAGAAATTCGGGAGATAATAAAGAACAAAATTAATAAACAGCATGTATGTGCAAATGAGTTCAGAGTATAGCCCATAAGCAATGACTTTCAATATTTCTGACTATGACTAATTATAGGAAATGCATTTTCTATCACAATCACAACACATACACTCACAAATACAACTTAACAGAAAGCTTCATGCAACATTATTTATCCCCACTTACATTGTATATTATTCTATATATATCCTATGAAAAATTGTTAGTCTCAATAATCCAAATTGATTTGTTGACCAGGATTTGAAGTTTGAATAACTGTTCTAGGAAACTGGGAGTTTTAAGCAGAAGTGAAGTAATTAGACCTGTGTTTTAAAAAGGAGGCTCTAGTGTTGAATGTCAATTAGAATGGAATTGAGACTGGAGGTAAAAAGTCCATACCACAGATGACTGTAACGTCAATGGGGATAAGGCCAGTGGGGATGTCCATCTTTGGCAGATAGGAAGTAAGTAAATATGATTTTTGAGATTACCTAGGGGGTAGTAAATAGGTAGTCTAGGATAAGACCCTTGACTTTGGTTTGAGTTTTTTCGTGGTTAACTTTAAACCATTACTAGAAGAGTGAATATGAAAAAGCTGAGTTGGTCTTGACTAAATAATGAATTGGGTTTTGAATACACGAATGTGAAATGCTTTTAGCTGTTGAGTTGGAAAAATCCACAAAGTGGCTGAATATATAGAGCTTGAATGTTAGGAAAGTCACTGTATATAGACAATCAGTACATTTAACTCATGCACTGCACACAAACCACTTAGGATGAGAAGTGGAAGAGATTCATGATGGAGCCTAGGAAGTGCTGACAAAAGAAACAGATCACAAAGTCAGGAAATAAATCGAGAGGGTCAGGTGATAAAAATTAAGAAGGTGAAGTATCACAAAGAAGAAGGTACTTATAAAAGTCAAATGTGGAAAAAAATATCTTGACAAAAAGTGGGTTTGGCAACGAGTAAGACATCGTTGTGTCTAGCAGAAGTGGCTTGTTATTTCTCAGTGCTCAGCGTTCTTCCCTTCCTTAGTAACAGAAAGCAAAATTTTAGCTGAAAACGTGGAAGTGTCTATATTCCCGTGTGAGAGCTATAACTAAATTTTGACCATTGTAAAGCTGGTAGAAGCAACTTTATTTTCTATTCTGAAATTATTTCTTAATCCTCATTCTGTATGCACTCTCTATTGTTTATTGTTGCTCTTCTCTTCTTATATTTCCTGCTACAACACTGACAAAATTTGGGCCAGGAGATCAATGTTGTGCTTGACAGGAGCACATGGTTATATCAAAAGTAGTCCTTGGAGGACTTTGTGAAAAATATGCTTGTTTAAGCCATTGCTATTTTAAGTTTTCTTTCATAAGTATCTAACTAATCATAATCACACAGTAATCTCAGAAAGAACTGCCTCATTGAGATGGTGGTGGGAAAACCCATAGTCCAGTGGGTTAAGTGATAAAGTCTTATTTATTATGACTTAAACCTTACATGCAATGACACAAGCTATGTTTTTATACTTAAATGTCATGGAGAGCTTATTTATTTCATATGAAACTGTGAACAGTATTTAGTGCTATGCATATCTCAAAGTCTTTGAAAGTCATGGTCAGTAAAGCAGAAAGTTAATTATTACACAGAAAAACACCCATTTCTATACATGCTTAGTGAATAATCTTCTCAAAAGGTAGAACTACCTACTCAAAAGGCAAAGAATGAAATTTGTCACTCACTTATGATTAATAATAACTAAAGGAACAGAGTTTTTCAACACTTACTATCCCATGAAGAAATGTGGTAATGCAGTCAAAATACCTCCAGCTCCCATAATTACAGAACCAATTCCAATCAGCTTTGGTCTGTGTAATTTTGATCCAAAGTAACTTACAAATACAATAACAAACAAATTTCCTAGAGAGAAAACAAAAAAATTAAGTTGATATGATTCATTATAGCAGTTACTGAGTCCAGTGAATTGAAGGCCCAGAATGCATGCAAATAGAACACGGATTTAGTGCTTTTACTTAAACACTATATCTATATATTTTCACTTTTCCCAGAAACACCAGAACTTTCTCCCTTTATTTGTACCTCTCTCCTCAGCCTGTATTTTTAGGACAGATGAGGGTAGCAGTGAAATGCAGGTATCCCCCAGAAAGATCATTCAGTTACTTTCTGCCATTTTATGATGATACATAAACATTAAAATAGTGTTTTCCAAATCAATCAAGGTGAAACTCACTGACATTAAACCAATGTTAAAGGCTGTGTAATACTAATCATATGTAGAATTCATATGAGGTACCGAAGAAATGAATTATTTCTCAACGTTAGTGGAGCAGAATTTTATTGAAGAATTGGGAATTGCCTGGATTGTATTGGAAAAAATGGAGAAAAATCTTCCTGACCTGGGGGAAAGGTGTTTACTAACGCACTTATTCATTCATTCTTGGCATTCTTTAAATGTCAATTATATGCCTCCCATGTTATTTGGATTCAGAAATATATAAAAAAGGAATGATTCTTTGAGAAAAAAGATACATACAGTGAATTAAATTTAAAGCTAATAACAATCTGATTTTAGAATTCTAGAGTTTCCATTAAGTCTGGAAGGTGGAAGAGTGAATGAGATGTAGGATGTAATAAACTCTGACTTCCAAAAATTCAGAACTAATAAGGAAAGCATAAGCAGTTCTTCCCTTATGCAATTACCTTTAAATAGTTAGTTAAGTATGTTCAAATAAAGTTTTAAAAGAAATAGTAAACTTGTAGGAAACATTTGCAATCTATATTTATAGAAATAATTTGGGGCTGTCTCCAAATAAGTAAGAAGTATAAAGAAAAACGAAAACTGAGCAGTGGTAATGAGCTATAATTTACAAAATAAAAATGTAATTATTAATAGTTACATAAAGTTTCATTATTATGTGGGAGAAGACATTAAAATTAAATATAACAAACCAGTATCTTTGATGTTGGGTTAAAAAAAAAAAAGAAAAAAAAACTTAACCTAAAAGAGTTAAAGAGTAGAAATTTAATGTAGTTTTTCTAAAGATGTTACTTGCTCCTCAACTCATAAGAATCATAGTCTTCTGTCAACTCAAATTTTCTTCACACTTGGGCATGTGAGAGAGGGAAAGTAAGGCCTCACAGGTGTTAGTTTGAAGGCAGTGAGTTTGTACAAGAGCTGAATCTTCAGCATCATGACTGTTGACATTTTGAGCTGCTTAGTTCTTTGTTGTTGGGTACTGATTTCTGCTTGTAGTATGTTTAGTAGCATCTCTGGCCATTACCCCTAAGTACCAGTAATATCCCCTCCCCAAATTATAATAACCAAAAAATGTCTCTATATGTTGTCAAATTGCTCCTGAGAGACAAATTCACCACTGCTTTAAAAACAGAGGTATAGAGCACATATGAATAGAATTTTAACTCTGCAAGTCTAGTTATTAAAATAGAAGTAAAAGTTACCAATTTCAAAGCCTCCATCAATTATACCAGATAGAGAAGAGGATATTTCAAATCTTCTTTCTATTTGGGTGAGGGAACTTTTCATAAGGACTCCACCTAGTGCCTTACAAGTAAAGCTGAATGTCATAGCAATCAAAAAGATCTATAAAAAAGCAGGAGGAAAAGGGAAAAGCTGTTAATCAAAGAACTATATAATGCTTACATGTTCATAGAATTCAAATAGCTTTTTCTTTTCTTAAAAACATTCTTTTCATCATCAAAATCATGCCTATCTTTCCCTGTGACAACTGGCACTTCTCAGCCCTCTCTACATTACCATCACTGTGTGGGTAAAGCATCATTTTCTAACCTGGTTACATCAGATTATTAGAGAAATGTAGCTAATTCTGATAATTTGATTAATGTCATCAAATGATCTGTGAGAAATTACATAATGTTCTCAGTTGCGTGATGGTAACCTATTCTTTGTCTCCAGGTTAGTAGCTGAGGCCACTCAAGGAAATGGTAGGACATCCTTAAAGGAAGTCATCTATAAATGGGTAATTGAGACGGCAATGGGAATTCTATGAACACCAGTCTAAGATTCAGTGGTGGAGAGGCCTTATTTTTCCATTTTGTTGTAACAAAAGTCAACAACACAGATTGGAGGTATAGCTCAAGTGGTAGAGTGCCTGCTTTGGAAGCATGAAGCCCTGAGTTCAAATCTCAGTTCTACCAAAAAGCAAACCAAACCCAGTCTCTTTTTTTCTTCTAGCCCACATCCACATCCATAAAAATATTTTTTGCTCTAACGTTAAAATCTGACCATATTATGGAATGCATGTAGTATCTCCTCAAATACCTATGTTGAAATCCCAATCCCTAGTGTAACAGTAACTGGAGCTGGGGGCTGAAAGAGGTTGTTAAATCATGAAGGTAGAGTCTTTAAATGAGATTGTTGTTCTTATTTTAAAAAAGTGTGAGTGCTTATTCTCTCTCTCTCTGTCATGTGAGGACACAGGAAGAAGATGCCACCTACACATCACAAAGAGGGCCCTCACCCTCACCAGTACCTAACGATGCTGGTGCCTTGATCTCAGACTTCCTAGCCTCTAGAAACGTGAGATATAACTTTCTTTTAACTCACTCAGTCTATGCTATTCAATAAGCTTGAACTAAGACTAATAGTCCCTTCTCATTACCTTCTGTGCTACCACCAGCCTCCACCATGTCTCCATATCTAGCCTTGATTATTGAAATAGCTTCGTGATACATCTTTCTACTTCTGCTCCAGTTCTCCTAGAAGTCTGTCCTCAACACAGCTGTTAAAGAAATCCTTTTAAAATGAAAATTAGATCATGATGTTACTCTGCATTATCCTATCTCATTCATAGGAACATTCATTCTTTCCAATGACCTAAAAATCCTAAATGATCCATCCTTTCTTCTATATCCCACCCACTACTAATAATACTCCTCTATTTTTCTAGTCTCTTATGTTACTCTTTCTTGTGCTTGCTCATTCCTCTCCAGCTACATTAGCCTTCTTGCTGCCCCTTGAGTATTCTAGGTTTATTACATTCTAAGATTCTTTATTCTGGCTTTTCTTAGCATGGAAAGGCCTTCTCCAGAGGCATATACCTGTTATCAACTTCCTCACATTCTTGAGGTTTTTGATTGAAAGTCACTTTCACAGTAAGTCTTTCCACGACTGCTCTGAAACTGCACCACTGTTCACTCACATTCTTCTTTATTTCTTTGCATGTTTATCACATTATGTCCTCACTAGCGTGTAAACTTTGTAGGACAGGGGTTTTCTCCATTTTGTTTATTGCTGAATCCCCAGTGCTTAGAACAATACCTGACACAAAGATGTACAAAGCATATTCATTGAACTTTGTCTAACCAGAACCACTATGTGTTTCACACTAGACCATGCTTTGGAATTAAAGATAAGGCCCCAATACATGCTTCTATACCTGGCAAGGTGAGTGTGTTCCTTCCTGCATGAGGAACTGTCAAATTATATATGCTAGCAATGAAGGTGAAAATTCACAAGAACTGTTAAATGATGCGACTTACTAGAGACAATGCAGAATTTCTGGATAAAATATAGAAAGTTATAAAATGGGAGATAAAAAGTGGGAAGATATCAATGTGAGCTTTACTAAGTAGGTGGTGGGAAGAATAAGATTCATAGGAGAAATATTAAACTGAATCCTTAGGGTTAGAAAAAAATATGAAAGTATTCTTTAAGGAGATTCATTTCTGATTTCTTCTACAAGTACATACAATCCTTATGTCATAGAACAGAAATCATATTGTTCAGAGTCTAGTCATTTAAAAAAATCATGCTATTAATCTCAAAAATAAAAGTGGGAGAGAATAACTTAGTAAGAGGAAGAATAGGAAACCCTGAACTGTCTTTCCAAAAAAGGCACAGATTCAACAACAGTGAAGAACCAAATGCCCTTATGAAAATCCCAGAATCCAGCTACAAGCTTATGCACCTCAGGCTAAAGTGGTCTATACAAACACCTTTACCCCTTAAAGGAAAAATACATCTCTCTCTCTATTCTTTCTCAACAGACCCCTTTCATTCATCTCACACTGCACAATGCAGTTTGGAAGAAACATCAAATTCCCCTACATCTAACATTTTGAATTTTAGGGGAGCTGTCCAAGGATTACTTTTGGTCTTACTTGTGTGCAGTACTGATAGGAATGGGGCACAAGGTTAGGGGGTCTCTCACAAGTAAATGGGTACTCCTTGTGTATAGCTCTAGAAGTAGAATTGCTGGATCATATGGCAGTTCTATTTCTAGTTTTTTGAGGAGCCTCCATACTGTTTTCCATAGTAGTTGTACTAATATGCATTCCCACCAGCAGTGTATGAGGGTTCCTTTTTCCCCACATCCTTGCCAACATTTGTTGTTGGTGGTGTTCTTGATGGCAGCCATTCTAACAGGAGTGAGGTGGAATCTCACTGTGGTTTTGGTTTGCATTTCTTTTATGGCCAGGTATGGTGAGCATTTCTTCATGTGTTTTTTGGCCATTTGGACTTATTCCTTTGAAAAAGCTCTGTTTCAGTTCATTTGCCCATATCTTCCTTGGATCATTGATTCTTTGGTACTTTAGTTTTTTAAGTTTTCTGTGGTTTCACTCCTAGGGATATACCTAAACGAATGTAAGTCGGGTTACAATAAAGGCACCCACACACCAATGTTTATTGCAGTATTATTCATAGTTGCTAAGATATAGAAACAGCTAAGATGCCCCACTACTGATAAATGGATTAAGAAAATATGGTATTTGTATACAATGAAATTTTATTCAGCCACAAAGAAAAATGAAATTTTGACATTTACAGTTAAGTGGATAGAACTGGAGAACGTCAGTTAAGTGAGGTTAGCGAGATTCAGAAGGCTAACGCTGCATGTTTTCTTTGTATGTGGAATATAGACATAATACAAACATAGCAATACTATGAAAAACGGGTCATGCTAAGGGGAGGTCACATACAAGAGAGGGAGAGTGAAAGAAGAAAGTTAAGGTGAATATAGTTGATGTACTTTCTATGCAAGAATGAATATAGAATTTTAAAACCTGTTGAAATTACCATATGAAGAGGACTAAGGTACAAAAGGTGAAAAATAGAGATGAACCAATTTGGGTTATACATACATACGTGGAAATGTCACAAGGAAACTCCCTGTATAGCTGTTTTAAACAAACAAAAAAGTTATTTTTTCTTTTACAAAACAAGAAAACAGGAGGGCAGAACCAGTCCTGTTTGGGGTTTGGTACCAGTGGAAGGGGGAAGAGGTGAGGGAAGAGTGTAGGAGGCTGAATAAGGTGCAAATGCTGTGTACAAATGAATGTAAATGGAAAAATGAGACCTGTTGAAACTATTCCAGGAATGAGGGGAGAGGTTAAATGAAAAGATGGAGGGAGTAAATTCAAGACTCGTATACTATACTGTAAGAACTTTTGTAAATGCCACAATGTACCCCTCCGCCAGCACAACAATCAAAAAAAAAAAAAAAATTAAATAGGTACAAGTTGGCAGTATCACAGAAAGACAGCAGGTGGAGCTCCAGTGCTGAAATTTGCTACAACACTACTAAGGCCATGCTAGGGGAGCACCCTGAATAGAAACCAGCAAAACTTTTCATATAGGAGGTTATACACACAAGCCCGGAGAGGACAGAAAAGCATGCACACCCAGAGTAAAGATTGAGAGAGCTCCAGAATGTCTAGCAAGGTTGAAATATGGAAGTTCCCCATATAGAAAACCAGACTGCAAAGTGTGGAAGAATTGGATGGTTCTCCAAATGCTAAAATCCCAACAACAAAATAATATAACATACAAAGAAACAGGGAAAATGAATGCATTAAAAGGATCAAGTAAAATCTCTAGGAACTGCCCCAAAGAAAATAAAAATATAGAAATTGCAGGCAAAGAATTGAAAATTTCTGACAAATATGCTTACTGAATTAAAAGAGAGCTCAGATAAACCACTAAATAAAATCAGAAACATGAGGAATAAACAAAGTGACAATATCAACAAAGATACAGAAACTATAGATGATCAAACAGAAATTCTGGAACTGAAGGACACATAACTGAATTTCAAAATTCACAGGAGGAACACAACAGCTGACGTCATTAAGTGGAAGAACCAATGACCTTCAAAATTACTGAGGAGAGGAGCGAAAAGAAAAAAAAAAGTATTAAGAGCCATAAGGAACTCATGGGAATCATAGGCCATAATCAAGGAGCACATGTACAATATATGAGTACCAGAGGAGAACAAAAAGAGGAATTATTTGAAGAATTAATGCCCCAGATTCCCCAAATCTGAGATGAGACATAGACTTAAAAATTTAAGAAGCTCAACACAAGGGAGGGGTGAGGATAGGTGAGACACCTAAAAAATTAGCTAGCATTTGTTGCCCTTAACACAGAGAAACTAAAGCAGATACCTTAAAAGCAACTGAGGCCAATAGGAGAAAGGGACCAGGAACTAGAGAAAAGGTTAGATCAAAAAGAATTAACCTAGAAGGTAACACACACGCACAGGAAATTAATGTGAGTCAACTCCCTGTATAGCTATCCTTATCTCAACCAGCAAAAACCCTTGTTCCTTCCTATTA